AATTTCTGTTATTTTCTATATGGATGATCCAGTGTAGGACTTATGATGATGCTAAACCATGACTGTTTGCACCTTTAGTCAAGTAAAAGCATCTGTATTCTCCATACAATATGGACATGCTAGCCTACCCGCAGTACCCCATCCAGACAACATCGAATATGTAGGAAAATCACTAATTGTCCACATCAAAGCAGCTCGCATGTTAAAATTTTGCTTCTTAGAGATATCATATGTGTCCACACCTATACTCCACAAATGTTTTAGTTCTGCAATCAAAGGCTACAAGAAAACATCAAGCTTTTGCTTAGGGTTCTTCGGTCCAGGAACTATAACCGACAAAAACAAATAGGACTCTTTCATACACATCCAAGGCGGCAAGTTGTATGGTGTCACAACTATTGGCCAAGATGAATACTGTTGACCTGTTTGTCCAAATGGTTGAAAACCATCTGTGCATAGCCCCAACCTGACATTACGACTTTCAGCTGCAAAAGATGGATGCATCTTATCAAAGTGTTTCCATGCGGGCGCATCTGAACAGTGACGCATCACACCTTCCTCAACTTTATGCTCGGCATGCCATCACATATGTGCAGCAGTCATGTCGGAAGCATATAACCGTTGTAATTGGAGTGAGGGAAAAGTAGTACATATGTTTGAATGGTACAAGATTTCTCTTTGAATTCGATATTTGCCTAGTAGGCTTGTACCTGGGATGGCGATAAAACTTGCGATGGCTAAGTTCACTATCTTCTCCCCAATAAATCATACAGGCATTTATACAACTGTGGATTTTTTCTACTGGCATGTTCATTCCCTGCATTAACTTCTTAGTTTCATAGAAATTATTTGGCATTGGGTTATCCGGAGGAATCATCTCATTCACATATTGACAAATGTCATCAAAACATCTATTAGATAGATGGTGTTCAGACTTGATGTGCAATAAACGTGCAACAGCTGACAATTGAGAATGTGTTTCACAGCCAGGCCACACCTCTTGATTTGCAGAATCTATCATATCATAAAATTTCTGCGCATCAGGATTCGGTAATTCATCCCTATCAATCGGATCGAATGAGGGGCCAGCGGCGTCAAGGACCATTCTGTGGTATGAAGTAGGTGATCCAGGCTCATCAATTGCACCCACATTTACCGATTCAGTATTCATAGACTGATCCCAATTTCGCATCTCTTCATGTTGATTTATATTTCTCGTAACCTCATTTTCTCCATGCAAGTACCATATATGATATCCAGGTACAAAGCCATCGCGCAATAAATGTTCGTGGACAGTAAGAACATCTTCAAAATTTCTGTTCTGACACTTTTTTCGGTTACATGGACACCTTAGTCTCTCACCATCCCTCCCTTCACGATGATTCTTTGCAAACTCAATAAATTGCTCAACACCCCTTATGAATTCTGGATTATACAAACCTCTCGTTAACCTTCTATACATCCACTCGCGATTTAAAGTCATTTTTCAAACAAACTTTCTTTCCTGATAATGTAAAAGGATTACAGTAGCATTATTGATTTCTAAAAATCGTTAGATAGTAGTACAAAAAGAGTACTAATAATCAAATTAGGCCTCAAATCCCAATTATAATGAGCAAAAGCTTTCAACATATCTACAATATACTGGATAAATTAGATTGATAAAAAATACTTACCACTTACCCGCCGAATATTGAATTGTGGAATTGAGAAGCTTCCAAACGATAGCTTGTGAGAGACTGCTGTGAGATTATCTATCAGTTGGGAAAGATAATGGAAAGGATTAGCCATATTGTGATCGTGGGTACAGAGAAGAAGCTAAAATGGCGCCAGTTCTCTGTAATTTTAGGAGAGTGGGGAAGGTAGGCGGTACCGTCTATGCGTAGTATGGCTGAAATCTGTGTAATTTAGAAGAGGGGGGTAATTAATTAGGCGGTACACTCTATATAATTTGCTTTGGGAATTACTTTAATTTGGTGTTTAATTAGTATACTGTATAGTGTAGGCGTTTAATTAACACACACAAACACACGCACACGCACACGCACACACGCGCGCACACACACACACACAAACATATATATATATTGGCAAAATATATTTTTTTCCTTTACTCTTATTTTCTGTCTTTTAATTTGTTTGCTTAGAATTATTTAAAAAATCTTTATTGTTAGAAATTTAAAATCATAAAATCTCCAAATANAATTTTAATTGCACCAAACTATTTGTATAAAATAATAAAATTTTAATTGCACTCATGTTTGAATTATTAAATATAAACTAGGTCCAAACATAAGTTATAGCTAATTATTTAATGTTCGAATATGCAATGAAATTATTACTAATTAATATTAGAACTAGTATTATTACCCACGCCGATGCGCGTACACTAACCATGTCAAATATTAGAGTTATTTAGGTTATATATAAATAATCTTAAAATTTAAATAACCTTCTTGATAAATATGATAATCATTGGATATTAATTAATTAAAAAACGCTACATGAAAAAAGATTAATTGTTTCTCAAATCTCCTACTTATTATTATATTTTATTTTTTAGTACCATTCTCGCCAGTGTCATAGATCCTAAAAATAGTCAGAATCGAATAATAACTCATATTTATCACAAAAGAATCGAAGGTTTTAGACTATGAAGGACTCTTATATATACGACTTGACTCTTTTACTACTACTTAAACTCTTATTGGTGTGTTGATGTCTTCCAAAAATATTTCTATTTTAAAATTTCAGTTTCTAAAATTTTATTTTTCAATAATAATTATTTTTATAATTAATAATGTAAGTGAAAATATTATCCTTAATTAATTAATTCAAAACTCATTTATGTCGGCTATTTAAAAATTTAGAATTTTTCTTTAGCCAGTGAATTTCCTTTTTCCAGTATGACTCCATTTTGATTATTGAAATTAACCATGTCAAATATTTGAGTTATTTGAATTATATATGTAAATAACATTAAAATTTAAACCTTCTAGATAATCATAGATAATCGTTAGATAATAATTAAGGCACACTACATGAAAAAAGACGAACGTTTTCTCAAATGTCGTAGCGATAATTTTATTTTTGCACCATTCTCATTGGTGTCATTATATTGGAATCTAAAATAGCCACAAAGCAAAATAATAACTCGTATTTATGGCAAAGCACAAAGGTTGAGACAATATGAATGATTCTTTGTTTATGACGTGATTCTTTTACTATATATGTACGACTTGAACTCTTTTTGGTATGCTGTTATCTTTCAGAAAATATTTCTATTTTGATAACTACAATTTCTAAAACTTTATTATATATTTTCAATAATGATTATATTTATAATGATGCCAGTGAAAATATTATTCTTTTTAAAATCAACTTTATTTAATCGACTATTTAAAAATTTGAATGATTATTTGGCCAGTGAAACATTATTTCAGTATGACTGACAAGGCAATATGAATGTTCTATCATGCATGTTCCATCAATACTCTAAAGGGGTTTATGATATATCCGGTATGGAAGTGGGACATTTCTATTGGCAAACATGCATGGCCGGGGTTTCCAAGTACATGCATGGCCAATATGGCTCCATTTTTTAAGTTTATCGAAGCCACAAATTTTGAATTTTGAATGCCCTATGTATACATGTTTTTTGTCTTGAATTATTAATTAAATGTTAAATTAGTTGATTGTTATTATATAACATTGCATATATTTATTGTCTAACTGCCAAGTAATAGTTTTTTCTCGACACCATACTTGGCTCCTCAACGCAAACTACTCAAATTGCATTTAAATTCAAATTCGAATATCATATCATTTTGTTAGTAATAGGCGTATGTTTTAAAAATGACACACAATTATATTGTAGTGTGTTTGTGTCACTATCCCGTTGTCATTGTAGGTCGTGATGTCGCTCAACGTTGCTATAAGACAGGCCAATCATAAATTATCACCACAATTAATTAGATTGTTAGAACTGGTTTTGATGGGTTCTTGTGTTTTGTTCAAATAAATTAAAATATTAATCATTACAAATTAGAATAAACTATATTATCGTTGAGTTATATATATATATATATATATATATATATATATATATATATATATAGGTAAATAACTAATGAAAAAAGTCAAGTTAGATATTGTCATAGTACGTAAGATAATATATGTACATATAAAAAAAGAAAAATAGAGACAGAGAATAACACTAAAAGCGTATACTTTAAATTAACTTTAAAAAATAAAGTAAAAATAATACTCGAAAATATTATTGATAATTTCAAAATAATAAATGTATTCAGAGAAATCGAATAAAAGTCTAAAAGATATAAATTTTTTGGTACTTAATTATTGAGATAATATGATTTTTAATTTATGATTTTGTTAAAATGTATGATTTGAAGTACTCGAACAATTCAGATCGATCGTACTTTCGTATATTCTTTAATTAATAATGTAAGTATCGTAAGTAATATTAACAATTAATTTCAATCTATTAATAAATTACAAACCAAAATCTTGATCTACTAATAAAGTTTCCAACCGATTAAGTATCAGTTGGCAAGTTTACTAACATATACCATTCGGTTGGTAATTTACAAACGCATTTTAAATTAGTTGGTAAAATTAGCAACAAAATCCTTCTGTTGGTAAATAATTGGTTGGTAATTCGTAATTAATCTGTTAATAAACAATACTTCATTTTTTCCACCATATTGAACAACGGATATGTACTCCGTTGGTAATATTACCAACGAAAAATGTTTGTTGGTAACATTTGAGTTGGTAATCCGTTAGTACGCAGTTGCTATATTAGCCGCCTATTTTTCCCGCCATATTTACCAACTAAATTATTTAGTTAGTAAAATTTTGGTTAGCAATTCGTTAGGAATCTGTTACTAAATTCTGAAAAATAAATTAGCTACCATTTTGTTAGCAATCTGTTGCTAATACACTAACAAATTCGGGGCGTTGGTAAAATCCGTTAGCAAATGGGGTTTTTTTTTGTAGTGGACAATGATGGAGATAGTGATTCAAGATCAAAATGATCATCATGGTGTAGATGTTATGGATGCTCCAGTTGATGAAGTTGTGGTTGATCAACAACCAATTCCTGCCCAGGTAACTACTTCGAATGCTCCGGAACCTCTATTAGAGGATCTACAAGGGAGAAGCAAAAATCCATGCGCTATCCTCCTGATGAGTATGTACTTTTGACTGACATGGGAGAACCTGAGAATTATGATGAAGCCATGCAAGATACTCACAAAGATCAGTGGATCGAAGCCATGGAAGATGAGATGAAGTCATTCCATGAGAATGGCACATATAAGTTAGTGAAATTGCCGAAAGGTAAGAGAGCTTTATCTAACAAATGGATATTCAGAATAAAGCAAGATAACCATACCTCTGCGCCTAGATACAAGGCGAGGTTAGTTGTTAAAAGTTTTGACTAGAAGAAGGGAGTTGAATTTGATGAAATTTTCTTCCCTGTTGTGAAGATGTTTTCTATTCGTGTGGTCCTAGGCTTAGCTGCGAGTCTAGATTTAGAGGTTGAGAAGATGGATGTCAAGACTGCTTTTCTTCATGGCGATTTAAATGAGGAGATTTATATGGAGCAGCGTGAGGACTTTGTAGTTAAGCTTGCAGATAAACCTGCGTATTGCAGAAAATTGGCACGCATGAAGCCTATCAATAGTTCCTCGACTTGAAGATACATTTGGCCCCTTGGCTGGAGGGGGAGTTTGTTGGGCACATGCCCATGTTGTCCAGCCAAAGGCCCAATGGCCTAATCCTATTCTCTTTTGGTTTCCATTCCTATTTGGAATTGGTTTCGGTTTGTTCCTATTTAGAGTTGGTTTTGGCTTTAAGAGAAAGCACCACTCATGATCTATAAATAGGACAACCTTGGAGAATTATTCTATGCTCATTGATACAAGTCTTTGAAAGACTTAAGCACATAAGAGTGGTTTTTGAGAGAGCTTTCATCAATAGAGAAGAGAGAACAAAAGTATTTGTTTTGCTGCAGATTTTTTATTCCGACCAGCCAATGTCAAAATAATTTTTCCGATTCGTTAACCGTTGGATCGGGCTGAAATTTTGACTCAGTGTTTGTAACATTTTGGTCTTCTATTTGAGCGGTGGAGATCATATTTGGAGGCCCGTAGCATCTGATTTAGAGCCTTGAACAACAGCTTCATTTTTGTAAATTCTCCTCTTTCTTCAATTGATTAGTTATTGCTCTTGTTGCTATTGTTGCTCCGTATTTGGCACTTGTTGTATAGCCAATTTGGAGAACTTTTGTAACTCTCTTATTGTTATAGCGGAGCTTTTGGATCTTTGTGATCCCGTGGTTTTTACCTTTGATTTGGAGGGTTTTCCACGTTAAAATTTGGTGTTATTTACTTTCTTTATTTTCGGGTTTGCCTCTTCCTCGACATAACAGATTTCCATAGTAAACCCTAACGGCGCCAA